CTTAGAAGCTGCAGCCTCTGTACACTTCCGTCCATCTTTAGAACGGCTGTATGGAATGTAATTTCGTTGTACTTAACTGTGCAATGACAGTAAAGAAGACGCAAGAAAACACAACTATTTCTTATCTCAGACCTCCAAAAATCTAAATGACCCTAACAGATTCTGGAAAACCATCAAATCTCTCTCAGGCACCCCCCAATCATCTGACCTCCCATCACAACTTCTCATTAACTCTGTTCCTGTGTTGGAGAGGTGGGCTTGTGATCCGAAGATCGCCGGTTCACGCCCCGGCCCCGACAATATCAAAATTGTGGGTGGGGTGGGTGAAACACCCACACTTGCCCCCACCCTCATTCGCCCCACCCTGGGCCCATGAGCAAGGCCCTTAACCCCACCATGTGCTCCCTAAAACAGGTCTCTCTTGCGAATGAGTTCTCGTGGCTCAATGAGACTAACCTGGATAAATAAAGGCTAAATGAAAAAAAATAAATAAATAAGCACGAGATCCTGAACTGTCTCAACAAACATTTTGTTGCTTCTGGTTCTTTATTTGACACAGTTACTAACAGAAAATCAGCCACTTCACTTAATAATCAAACTTCTACAAATCAAATCCCTCCTACAAGTCAATCCTCAGTTAATCACAGCTTCTCTTTTTCTCTATTCTCAGTCAGTGAGGTCAATAAACTGTTAAAAGATCTTGATCCTAAAAAATCTGCAGGTCCAGATGAACTTCCACCTTATTTCTTAAGGCTGGCTGCTCATATCATCACAGTCCCTGTGACCCACATCTTCAATCTCTCCATAAGACAAAACTCCATCCAGACACTTGAAAACAGCCTTTGTTCTTCCTTTGCTGAAGGGAGGAGACCCCCCCTCACTGAACAACTATGGACCAATCTCTAAACTCTGCATTTTAGCCAAGGTTCTAGAAAAACTGATAAACTCTCAAATCAAAAATGACCTGGACTCATTTAACATCTTACCTCCACATCAATCTGGTTTCAGGAAACAACACAGCACAACCACTGCTTCACTGAAGGTTCTTAATGATGTTGTTGAAGCACTGGATGCTAAGGATTATTGTGCTGCACTTTTCTTAGACCTGTCTAAAGATTCTGACACTGTGGATCAGAACATCTTGTGTCATAAACTCTCAGGAACTGGTTTCTCAGATAACACCATTGGTTGGTTCTCTAACTATCTTTCAGACCAGAGGCAATGTGTTCAACATAATGGTACTTCCTCCAGTTATTTAACAGTCAACAATGGTGTACCACAAGGCTCAGTCTTAGGACCTACCCTCTTTACAATCTACATACATAATGTAGGTAAAAACATCCCTGATGCATCCATACATTTCTATGCTGACGACACAGTTGTTTATTGTCGAGCTAAAACTGTTGCTAAGGCTTTCCAGCTTTTGAAATCTGCATTCAACATCATCCAGACTGATTTGTTTCACCTCAAACTGGTGCTAAATGCCGACAAAACCAAAGGGATGCTTTTTTCAAACAGGAAGTTGGTCCCAGCAGTTCTTCCTCTGATTTTATCCTCAAATGGTGTCCCCATTGAGTTTGTTGATTCCTATAAATATTTGGGCATCTTGGTCGACTCACATCTTTCTTTTATTCATTCATTCAACCTTTATTTATACAGGTAAATCCCACTGAGCCTCGAGGACTCATTTACAAGAGAGATCTGATTTCAACAAAGAAAGATGACAACAATGGACAACAGCAACAACAATAAGCAGTTATAAAAAGTCATACTGCAGTTTTTTTTTTTTTTTTTTTACAAATAGGATGGCTAAAAGGAAAAGGTAACAAAAAAAAACAGCTAGATTCTAAGACGAATGTATAAAACTAAAAACAGGAACATGTCTGTATTGGTCCCTGCCAGGAGTCCAACAGATTCTTAAAGCCACTTAGAGAGGTCAAAGGTCGAGAGCTTTTAAGCACCATGTGGAAAACTTGGTAAAGAAACTGAAAGTTAAACTGGGTTTCTTTTTCAGAAACAGATCCTGTCTAACCCTGAATGTTAGGAAACACCTTGTATCTGTGACTTTCCTTCCCTCCATTGATTATGGTGACATTATTTACATGAACGCTCCTACAAGAACCCTGCAGATGTTGGATGCTGCAGATGTTGGATGCTGCAGATGTTGGATGCTGTCTATCATGGTGCACTAAGATTCATAACTGGCTGTGATTATTTTACCCACCACTGCACCCAGTATTCACTGGTTAACTGGTCACCATTAACTTCACACAGACTCTCCCACTGGTACATCTTCATCTTTAAATCACTTCTTGGTCTGCTGCCTTCATACATCTCCTCCTACATGTCTCTGTGTGAGTGCAGCTACAGCGTGCGCTCTCAGGACATCATTACCTGCAGTGTTCCCTCAGTGAGGACTGAACTAGACAAAAGGACCTTCTCCTACTCTGCTCCTGTTTCCTGGAATATCTTGTAAAAAGACCTGAAGCTCTCGACCTTTGACCTCTCTAAGTGTCTTTAAGAATCTGTTGGACTCCTGGCAGGGACCAATGCAGACATGTTCCTGTTTTTAGTTTTATACATTCACCTTAGAATCTAGCTGGTTTTTGTTACCTTTTTCTTTTCTTTTTTTTAGCCATCCTATTTGTTAAAAAAATAAAAAAATAAATTGTATGACTTTTATAACTGTTTATTGTTGTTGCTGTTGTCCATTGTTGTCATCTTTCTTTGTTGAAACCAGGTCTCTCTTGTAAATGAGTCCTCGAGGCTCAATGGGATTTACCTGTAGAAATAAAGGTTGATTGAATGATTTGAATGAAGTTTATTCTGATTCTGATGTACTCATGAACTGGAGGCTACTGAAAGGTGTGTAACCAATAATAATGCTTCTACATGGAGCTAAAATCTGCCCTGGATAGAGTATGCACACCTCCTGCACAGAGGTGCAAGAGGAAGCTTATTTTGCAGCTGTGGGCTGCACAAAGGTGCAACCGGTGCTAAATAATTTAAAATAATTTATTTTAAATAAAAATCCCATGCCGATCATGAGCTCATCCATCAGTCAAAAAATTGTGTGTCATGTCCAATCTTATTTTGAAAAATCGCGATAGAGCAAGTCCGTGAAAAACGAACCACAAAGTAGCGAGGGACTACTGTAGTAATTGTATTTGTCGTAGTAATAGAAGTTATAGTAGTAGATGTAGCAATAGCAGTAGTAGTAGGTATTAGTAGTAGAAGCAGCAGTAGTAATACCAATTGCAGCTATAATAGTAGTAGTAGTTATAGTCTTAGTAGTAATTATAGTGGTATTAATACATTAAATTTACAGGTTTGTGTCACTGTGTAGATTAAAAGCTGGTTACATAAGACTTATGTAACATTTTCTAAATTAGTAAATGTTTTACACTTTTATATTTTCTGGGGTTTACAGCAACTTAACCACAAAATGTTTGTTTTTTTATATATTTGAACACTTCCTTTATATATATGTGGGTGAGTGGTTAAAGCAGTCGTCCTCCAATGCAAGAGTTCGGGGTTCAATTCCACCAGCTGTCACATGCTGAAGTGTCCCTGGGCAAGACACTGAACCTCTCATTGTCTCTCATGTGTGTCCCATCATTCATTCATTCATTCATTCATTCAACCTTTATTTAGACAGATATGTCACGTTGAGCCTTGAAGACTCATTTACAAGTGAGATCTGTTTAGACAAAAAGTAATGAAACTGGACTCATGTAGGAATCGGTGTCTGAATGTGATAAAGCTCTGATTAGTCTTAGTAGAGATCTAGTAGAGATCTAGTAGAGAGCTGTATGAACGGGTAACGAGGACACAGATTGTAGAGTAAAGAGCTCTGAGTGTCTTGATAAGATAGAAAAGCGCTACATAAGCACACTTCATTTACATACAGTATAAAGTGTTTACTGTGTACAGCCACCAAGAACAGATCATTTATTTATTTACTGTATTAATTAAGTAATTTATTAGTTCATTTATTGAAAGAAAAAACATGAGCATGTGTTTACCCAACAATGTGCCAGATTTAGCTGAGTGCTTTTGTCTGTAGCTTTTAACAGATTGATGGTAAAAAACAAAAAAACATCATAATTGGTAATTTTAGCTTTTTCAAGTCTAAGGACACAGTAGATCTAGAAATAAATGTCACTAAATGGGTAATAAATAACTTTGTCATGTCAACTTTTACCATGACCCAATGAGAGGTAGTTTCAGGAACATGTTGTGGTCACAAAATTAATAAAGTTAAAGTTCACACAGAGCGACTACATGTTCAACTTTATGTGTACTGTAATATCAGATAAATCTTCTAAAAGTCAAACATGACTTTGACACTTCATGGAATATGTTGTCCTTAAGACAAAAACTCCTATTTTGTTTGACATAAATGAAAGTATATTTGGATAGTTAATGTTTTTCTTAATTCATATCTTAAATCTTATTGCTGTTTTTCTTTAATAGTTTATACTTTTGTTGGACGTAACTGGGACCCTGTGTACACAATTTCGTTCCACCACATGTACCACATGTGGTGCGAATGACACATACAGAACCTCGAACCTGTTAATGGAAGTAATGGGAGAATACAAACTATACTGTAATTCTTGATGAACTCTTATATGAGCTGTCCCTGGCAGCAGCGCTGAGGCTGCTCAGGCAGCACAGCTCAGATGTAAATGGCTTCGTGCTTCGTTCCACAGCACATTTAATGCAAAAGGGCTGTTCCATGTTGTTCTGCAGCCATTGTTGGCTGGACATGTGGATACCATACTAGTCTTTTCCTTTGTCCATCCATGTCAAAACACCAAACCACTTAAATATTTATCCCTTTTTCAAATACAAATCCATATTTTCAACAAATGTTGTGCTCCAACAAAAAGGGACACATGTGCCAGTAGCCTTTAGTTATAACTATGAGAGGATTTGAATGACAATGCTTTGCTTGTCAAGAGGTAGAGTATAAAAAGCCCTGAAAACATGGGGAATCTCTCCAGCAGAGAGAGACCATGGGCAAGGTAAGCGCTGTTTGTCACCTCTGCTGTGGCTTTGAGTTTAACACGGAGCACCACTTGTGCTCCATTTCTGTTAAGAAGCTGAGTCTGACTGAGTTCTCCGTGCTCTCGTATCTCCCACAAGATCATTTTTTACGAGGACAAGAACTTCCAGGGTCGGAGATATGAGTGCAGCAACGACTGCACGGACCTTCACTTGTACTTCAGCCGCTGCAACTCCATCCGGGTGGAGAGCGGCTGCTTCATGATCTACGAGCGACCCAACTTCATGGGTCACCAGTACTTGATGAGGAGGGGGGAGTACCCGGACTACCAGAGGTGGATGGGCTTCAGCAGCAGCATCCGCTCCTGCCGGGTGATTCCAGCGGTAAGTTAGACAACATATCTCGTTTGGTGTGGGTCCTGCACATATTTGACTGGGCTTGTGCTGGTCTACCTTTGTCCGTCAGTACCGAGGCTCCTACAGATTGCGCATCTACGAGAAGCCCGACTTCAGCGGCCACATGATGGAGTTCATGGATGACTGTCCCTGTGTGTCTGACCGTTTCCACCACCGCCATGTCTACTCGTGTAATGTTATGAACGGCTACTGGGTCTTCTACGAGTACCCCAACTACCGAGGCAGACAGTACTTTCTGAAAACTGGAGAGTACCGGAGGTACCGGGACTGGTGTGCCACCTGCGCCATCGTTGGATCCTTCAGGAGAGTCACCGAATTTTAGCCATCAAGCCAAACCTTGTTGTAAATATCAAGCACTATGTTTATTAACATGTACAATTTTAATTAACTTTGTGAAGGGTTTTTTGATAAGTTTATGATTTGCAATAAAAACACAAAAACTTCTGACTTTTTCTGCTAAAAATCTTTAAAAATTCAGTGAGATGAGTTTTTTTTTAATACTTTGTAAATAATGTAAATAAGAAACAAAAAGTGGTTTTATTTTACTGTGGGGGTTAACATGTACATAACAAATTGCAGTCATCACTGTTCAATGCTAATAAAGTATCTGGACCAGAGCAACACGGCTAGTTTTCAGAAGTTGTTTTAGTGGTGTGCTTCGTAAGAAAATAATAAAAAACTGCATATTTCAATAGTTTTAAAAGAGACAACTGTTAATATACCTGTACATGCCTTCATAAATTTAATAAATACATTTTTATCATAATTTGGTATGATATTTATATCATAATACCTTTATAATACATAAAGTTTATTTATGTTTTTATTGAAGTAAATTACACATTAACTTAACATGACATCAACCTTTGCAAATGGAGATCTCAAAGTCAGTGCTACCATCAAATATGGAAAAGTATTTTATATTCATAGCACCAAAAGTATTTTATATTCATAGCACCAGATGTATTTTATATTCATAGCACCAGATGTATTTTATATTCATAGCACCAGAAACTCCAACCCCCAGCAGAAGGTGATAATATCTGTAACAATGACCAGTTAACCTTTGGACATAACCCAATTCAAGATGGCCACCACAGTCAAACCCCTGTGAATTAAGTGCTAACAGACCGTTCAGTTCGATTTAATCCAGTTTATTTATAAAATTCATATTAATAAACTTCATCTCAGGGCACAAACACATTCACAAACATTATAAAACATTAATTTCTCAAAGTTATCTCTCTAAATATACCAGTTGAATCTTAACTTTAACATATTTAATTTCATTTTCTTTTAAAAGTATTCAGTTGATCCAGAATGCTGCTGCCAGGGTTTTAATGGGAGCTGATGGGAGAGATCATTTCTCTCCAGTTTTAGCTTCTCTCCATTGGCTCCCTGTCAAATCCAGAAAATCTTACTTCTAACCTACAAAGCTCTCAACAACCTAGCTCCATCTTATTTTACAGATCAAATTTTCCATACTTACATACAGAGAAGTATGTTAAACTGGTACAGGACATGTATGAGGACAGCAGGACATGTATGTGGACAGCAGGACATGTATGGGGACAGCAGGACATGCATGAGGACAGCAAGACATGTATGGGGACAGCAGGACATGTATGAGGACAGCAGGACATGTCAGAATGGTACAGGACATGTATGAGGACAGCAGGACATGTATGTGGACAGCAGGACATGTATGGGGACAGCAGGACATGCATGAGGACAGCAGGACATGTATGGGGACAGCAGGACATGTATGAGGACAGCAGGACATGTATGAGGACAACAGGACATGCATGAGGACAGCAGGACATGCATGAAGACAGCATGACAGTGCTGAGATGTGCTGTAGTGACAGATAGCTTCAAGGTGGAGGTGGGAGTGCATCAAGGATCAGCTCTGAGCCCCTTCTTGTTTGCTCTGGTGATGGACCGACTAACAGATGAGGTCAGGCAGGAATCCCCGTGGACTATGATGTTTGCAGATGACATCATGATCTGTGGTGAGAACAGGGAACAGGTGGAAGAGAACTTGGAGAGGTGGAGGTATGCACTTGAAAGAAGAGGAATGAAAGTCAGTCGTAGTAAGACAGAGTCCATGTGTGTGAATGAGAGGGAGGAGGTGGAACAGTGAGGCTACAAGGAGCAGAGGTCACAAAGGTGCAGGACTTCAGGGACTTGGGGTCCACTGTCCAGGAACATGGGGAGTGTGGTGAAGAGGTGAAGAAGAGAGTCCAGGCAGGATGGAGTGATGGAGAAAAGGTTCAGGAGTGATTTGTGATAAAAGGGTGTCAGCAAAGATCAAAGGAAAAGTTTAAGGATTCAAGTTTTTTTATTGTTATTCACATCACATGTGGTACATGAGGTGGAATTAAATTGTGTACACAGGGTCCCAATTACATCCAACAATAGTAAAATATAAAGTGTTAAAAGAAACATTAAATAAGGATCTAAGATATAAACTAAGATATACGCTAAATGCACTTCCACGGTGCGCTAAAAGATCCAAGATATATGTCAGTCAGTAACAGTGCAACACAATACACTGAACAACAGCGGTACGATTCTCATCGGTTCTGTTCAGATATAGTTTACACGCTTACTGTGAGCGGAGCTGACCCCAAGACTAACATTAACTAGGATTTATTCAAAGCATGCAACAAAAACACAGAAACAAGGTGCTAAAAGTGAAAAAGAAATAAATCTACAGCAGCATGGTCCTATTGGCAGAGTGGTTCTGATGACAGTGAGGTAACACGGTCCTCTTGGTACCGTGGTACTGGTGCACTGGTGCACCATGGTTAGTTTACAAGACAGTGGTGAGACCAGCTCTGTTGTATGGTCTGGAGACAGAGACATGGACAAAAAGACAGGAGACAGAACTGGAAGTGTCAGAAATGAAGATGTTGAGGTTCTCCTTAGGAGAGACAGGAAGTCATTCAACCTTTATTTCTACAGGTTAGTCTCAATGAGTCGAGGTCTCATGTTCAAGAGAGACCTGTTTTAAACTAAACCACAGATGAGGTACAGACAACAAGAAACAAGAAACAATCAAATAAAAGCATATAAAATGAAAAGTCAATAAAAGTAGTGACAAAAAACAAAATATAAACATGCTACAAGATGAAATGGGGTAAAATACTGAAAACAGGAACTGGGACATGTAGGAGGAGATGTATGAAGGCAGCAGAGCAAGAAGTGATTTAAAGATGAAAATGTACCAGTGGGAGAGTCTGGTGAAGTTAATGGTGACCAGTTAACCAGTGAATACTGGGTGCAGTGGTGGGTACGATCAGGGGTGTCCAAACATTTTCATATGTGGGCCAACACTATCAAGATTAAAGGACTCGTTGGCCACAAAAATGTGAATTTAACTCTCAACGTGAACAATATTTTGGAGAAAAGACAAAAGTTTACTAATTTTGTTGCAGAAAGTTTTAAATTGTTGTAGATCCAAAACATTGAAAGCCTCATAAACACTAAGCTTATATTTTTTATTAAAAAGGATTTGATTTTTGGATTCGTTCGGTCTATTTTTGTGGTTTTCTTGTGTTTGGAAAGTTCATTTTAATCTGTTCTCAGCAACAAAAGTGTAATTTGATCAAGTGTTCTTTGAAGATGTGGGTCGATCATCCTTTTGGACCATGGATGACCCAAAAGGATGATCGAAGTTCTAAAACATCATCCAGCTGTCAGTCGCTGCAACAGATTCAAAGAAGATTTGATGAAGTCGATCAACTTGTATGTGGATGATACCACACTATATTAATTTAAAATGTTTAATTTCTCTCCTGATTATTTTATCAACTGCAATATTTAGCTAAGTTTTATGAATCATTATCTAAAGTCTCCTTTCTGGTAGAAATCACTAAAGGTTTTTTCTGCTTTGTACTATGAAGTGAAAATAAAAATATTATAGCCAAAGGTTTGTATTTTGCTTAATATTGCTCATTTTGAAAAGATTGTTTTTCATCCATTTTGCTGTTAAACCTGAACATTATATAAAAAATGATTACCAACAAATGTGCAGGAACTCTGCATCGACCTCTTAAGCCTGCTGGACAAAATGATATCATTCTTAAACTGCAGTTGTGGGCCGCACAAAATCTCTCCAAGGGCCACAAATGGCCCTCGGGCCGCACTTTGGACACCCGTGGGTACGATAGTTAGCGTACCATGATAGACAGCATCCAACATCATCAATCAGGTGTCTCTTGTAAATGAGTCCCCGAGGCTCAATGGGATTAACCTGAAGAAATAAAGGTTGAATGAATCTGCAGGTCAGGAATGAGATGATCAGAGGTACAGGTTGAACAACTGGAGATACAGTTAGAGAGGACACACTGAGATGGGTTGGACATGTCCAGAGGAGGGACAGTGGTCTGGACATGTCCAGAGGAGGGACAGTGGTTTGGACATGTCCAGAGGAGGGACAGCGGTTTGGACATGTCCAGAGGAGGGACAGTGGTTTGGACATGTCCAGAGGAGGGACAGTGGGTATATTGGTAGAAGGATGTTAGAAATGCAGCTGCAGGAAAAAGACAAAGAGGAGACATATGGATGCAGTTAGAGAGGACATGGAGGTGGTTGGAGTGAGGACAGAAGACACAGAGGACGGAGTGAGATGGAGGAGGAGAACTCTCTGTGGAGACCCCTGAAGAGGGAACAGCCAAAGAAGAAGAGGAAGATTGTTCCATATTTTCCTAACAGAGCACTTCACTCTCAGACTGCAGGTTTACTTGTGGTTCCTAGAGTTTCCAGCAGCAGAATGGGAGGAAGATCTTTCAGTTCTCAGGCTCCTCTCTTGTGGAACCAACTTCCAGTTTCTGTCCGTGAGGCTGACACATTGTCCAGTTTGAAGACTGGCAGAACTACTTCTGCTCTGTAGACTCCTATAGTCTTAATATGTCCCAGTAAGACTATAGGAGTTGCCTGCAGCTCTGATCACTGATAGCAGGGCCATACAATTCATCAGTTAGTCTAAATGAGTCGCAAAGACTCATTTTCAAGAATAAATGAAATAATAAATAATAAATATACTAATGACCTGTCCCACAACACAACTTTAAAGAAGAAAGAATAATGAAATCACCAAAAACTATTTTCTATTCCATTTGTCAGTAAAGTTGGTAAAACTGTTGCCTCTTGAACTGGGACCTGTGGAGTTTACATGTTCTCCCCCAGCACCCACAGGTTTCCCCCACTGACCTAAAACATGCATGTTAGGTTCATTAGGAACTCTAAGTTGTCCCTATTTGACTGGTGTGAATGGTTGTTTGTCTCATTTGTCTCCAGGTGTCCCTGTGATGGACTGGAGACCTGTCCAGGTGTCCCTGTGATGGACTGGAGACCTGTCCAGGTGTCCCTGTGATGGCCTGGACACCTGTCCAGATGTCCCTGTGATGGACTGGAGACCTGTCCAGGTGTCCCTGTGATGGACTGGAGACCTATCCAGGTGTCCCTGTGATGGCCTGGACACCTGTCCAGGTGTCCCCTGCCTCTCACACAGAGATGGCTGGACATGGGCACCAGTGACCCCAATAACCCGAAAAGGAAGAAGCGGGTAGAAGATGATGGATGGCTTTGGTAGCGGTGGTCTTGTAGTCCTGAGGTTGCAGGTTCGAGCCCAGGTCAGTAAGGACGTCAAGTGTAAAACCATTTCCTTACTTACTCACTGTGGGGACTCCTGCAGAAGAGAGTATCTGAAAGAAAAATAATTTTTAGGAGGAGCTACTTTTGTCAGGCAAATTTATTTATTTATTTTTTAAGAAAGGCGATGACCAACATGTCCTTATGAACTTATACCAAGTGTATGTATTTTTAAGAGTGGTATGATTTTTAAGAGGGATATGATTGTCAGAGAAGACACCACCTGCTGCTTAGTCGATTTAAGGAACTCACTGTTGGCTCATCGTGTTAAAGTTAGTCGTATTAAATGCACAAACGATGAAGCGCGGACACCCTAAAGAGATGTTAGTGGCGTGGTGGCGATGGGCGACAGGCTGGATGCAAACGAGGCCTTCAATGGAAAGTGTGACATGGGCCCATCAGTTCAGCTCTGATCCAAGTCAATCCCTCCTTTTATACAGCTACGCCTGGATTCTACTAATTTTTATACTTACCAAGTGATTATAGTGACAAATTGACCCAGTTTTTCTTATTGTTTCTTGTTGTACGCATGGTTTTTCCGTGTCTGAATAATGGTGCAGATTCATGGTTTAAACTGAGCCTGATGTTTATTCCTCCCTGAGGTTCTGACTGTCAGTACAGAACCTTCTGACAGCCAGTGGTACACACACAAAGCTTATGCTTAACATGAACAATGCAGATGACTGCTGCCAGAAATGTATGGATGGAGAACCATTGTTACACATTTATAGGCTCTGTTCAGCAAAAGTCATTCTGCTAATTCATCAGCTTTGCAGATTTGAATAACAACAAGTCATGGCCCCCGGGGTGTTGTATAAAAAGGCGCTGGAGTCACGGAATTGGCAGAACGAGTTGAAACATCCACTGGAAACAACCCAAGACTCCACCATGGGCAAGGTAATGAAATATTTACCAACAAATTCAACATGTCTCATTATACTTTATACAACAAAACAAATCAAAACCAAACTTTTGTTCCTCAGGTCATCTTCTACGAGGACAGGAACTTCCAGGGTCGCTCCTATGAGTGCATGAGCGACTGCTCTGACATATCCTCCTACCTGAGCAGGTGTCAGTCCTGCAGGGTGGAGAGCGGCTGCTTCATGGTCTACGAGCGTCCTAACTACATGGGCATGCAGTTCTTCATGAGGAGGGGCGAATATCATGACATGCAGCGCATGATGAGCATGGGAATGACGTTCGACTCCATCAGATCCTGCAGAATGATCCCCTTTGTATGTATGCTGTATGTATTGACTTCATCTGGAGATGCAGGATATCTAATGCTATTCCATTCTCTATGTTTGATTACAGCACAGAGGCCAGTTTAGGATGAGGATCTACGAGAGGGAGAACTTCGGTGGTCAGATGAATGAGCTGATGGACGACTGCGACTCCATCCAGGACCGTTACCGTATGTCCGACTGCATGTCCTGCAACGTGATGGACGGCCACTGGCTGATGTACGAGCAGCCCCACTACAGAGGCAGGATGATGTACATGAGGCCCGGAGAGTACAGGAACTTCATGAACATGGGCATGAGTGGCACCAGGTTCATGAGCATGAGGCGTATTACTGATATGTGTTAGAATAAAATTAAACATTAACTTCTGTGTTTAACTTGAGTAAATAAAACTATATTTGATCCAGAAAAACTTTTCTTAGTTCTGATTTTTGTGTGGTTCTTCATAGTGAGGAAGATACCAGTTAATAATATTCTAACATTTTCAATTTTTTTCTTTCGGCTGCTCCCTTCTTCAGGGGTCACTACATCGAACTAAGTCGCATGAAGACTTGGTGATTATTTTTATGCCAGATGTCCTTCCTGACACAACCACAGACCTCAAGGGCCCAGAGTGGGGCAAATGAGGGTGGAGGCAGGTGTGCGTGCTTCACCTATCTCTTCTACATTTTAATGTTGTTAGTACCGGGAGTTGAACCGACGATCTTCTGATCACAGGTCCACCTTCTCTAACCTCTGTGCCACCACTTCCTCATTCTAACATTTTCATATCAACTTTATTTATTGTCCCCATCTGAAAGAGAAGAGAGGAATTGGAAATACCCTTCATTCTTTAGCACATTGTGTAAGCTGGATAACTTGAAAACTAAGCAACGTATTGACTTCCATTTTGGTGTGGCTGCATCTAGATGTAAGAAAGGCCACTATCAAACTTGGGTTGCCAGGTCAAAAACCAAGATGGCCATCACCATGTGTATACGTATACTGGCCACCCCAGTCATTTGAGAAAACTATACTTTCTAGTCTTTATATTGTTTAAAGTATAGTTCCCTCAAATGACTGGGGTGACCAAAAATAATTATATGGTGCCAGGTAGCCAATGGGTCAATCTATTTGTTTCATTTTTCAATTCAGTTTATTTCTATAGCGCCTAGACCCAACAGAAGTTGTCTCAGGGCACTGTACAAAAACATTCACATATATAAAAATGCCAATTAGTAAAAGTAACTCCAGTTAAGACTCTGGCAGCAGCATTTTGGATCAACTGAAGACGTTTTAAAGAAGTATTTGGACACCCAGATAATAAACCATTGCAATAGTCCAGTCTAGACGTGACAAATGCATGGACCAGTTTTTCTGCATCATCTTTAGATCAGATGTTTCTAATGTTAGTGATATTACGCAGGTGGAAGAAGGAGGTTCTAGTAACGTTTTTAATGTGGGGGATAAAAGAC